ACCACCATTGTGGTTACCGCCAAAAAAAAAACCGGTAACCTGGTTGCCGAGTTCACGAAGTGAATTGGCTTGTTTTACAACGTCGTTGCCAAGCGACGAAAACCCAACCCCGATGGCAAACACCGAGGGGCAACGGGGGGGGGGAGTTTTGCTACTGGCTCATTGTTATCTTGGATACACGCAATCGACCGAAGCCAACCGCACCCTTCCCGTTCCTGCTTTTTCCAAAGTCGTCGCTCACGTCCGAGAGGCGAAAAAGATCACAATCAACAAGTACTGCTGCACTGCTGTCCGTTGCAGCACCGCCGAGCGGTCGTTCACACTTCATTTATTTGTACGACGCGATAGATCCGGCAAAGACAGCACAGCGCGAAAATGGCAACACACTTTAGTTCTTTTAGCATCATTGCAAGCTGGTCATAGGGCGCTGAATCAAGCACACTCAGTACAGCACAAACCAATGTGCAGAATGCGGTAAACGTTCCGGTACGGTCTGCAGCCAAAAGCCGCCGTGTCTTGCTCTTACGTTGCTTCCCTTCAGGTTGGATCCATGTAAGCCCTTCCAGAAGAATGCAGAGAAGGGAAGGAGAAGGAGAAGGAGAAAACGAGGAGACAGGGCAAAACAAAAAATCCAGTCAACGTACGGCCGGGCGAGAACTCAACGGAAATTTAATAGCGAGTCGCTCACTGAACGCGCTCGTGATACAGCATGGCATGGCACCCTTAAAGACCAAGAGTCGACATGAAGACAAGGCGCCTACGGTATCAACCACGGCGCAGCGTGTGCAAGCAAGCCACCCACGACAGCAATAGGAAGCGCCACAAACTGATGCACTGGATTCCGTTTTTGAAACAGAGCAACTGTCACAATCGCACGTTTTCAACCGCCGCGCAGCGTACTGCGCGTCCAACACGCCTCGAGCTGCCAACAGCACACTGGCCGACAACGCCCAGCCCTTGGCGCTCTATGTATACCCCCCACAACCCTTTCATCCCGTTCCAACTTCAACAACAAGGAAGTGCGTACCCGGCGCCGTTGTTCCGCCAACAGGAGGGGCAGGCCCCGAGACTCCAGCGCCTCCGAGACAGCCTGCCTGGTAGCCACTCCTCTCGCCAACGCCTGCATCGATCTCGCCGCAGCCGCTTCCTTCTCTCGCTGAAAAGCCGCAGCTTCCCGCTTGCGCTTGGCAGCCTGTCGGGCAGCTTTTGCCTCTGCTTGGTCCGCCAGACGCTTCGCCGCGAGGAACCTGGTTGATGCATCAAGCCGATCCCAACAAACATTTAGGAAAACATAACAGCTACCACAAAGTGAAAAAAGACACAAGCTACACTTGCTGTCAAGCGCGCCGCAAGAATAACTTTGAACGAGCTGACGTTGGAATAAGAGGACCGCTGCGAGGGAGGGCAGACAGGAGGAGTATTCGTCAACCGTTGGTTTGTTTCAACACCGAAACTCTCCTTCACAATTAATTGTCTCTTTACCAGACGTGACTCGGATTACGGGGTCACGGTGGTTCCGTTCAAGAGAGTTTTCTCGACCGAGGTTTCGCTTCTATTGAGCATGCTCACGGACCACTGCGACTTCAGAGCGTAAGATAAGAGCCCCCTGCGTGGTCAAAACACGGGGTCAAAACACCTGCTGAGCCTCGAACGCACCCACGTTTCCTACCTAGACACGATCACGAAATGAGAACGGCCAGGGCAAACGACGTGCGTTCCTAACCTAAAATTCTTACACATTGGAAAAAAAAAAAGCTCGACTGCGCTCCCATCCCCCCACGAAGACAACCAACCCATTCCAGACACACAAAAACAGCAGTTACCTGCGATTCGCCGCGATCGCTCTCCCCTCGCCCCCTCTCCACAACGCCTGTAGAGCAGTCGCGGCTCGCACTCGATTGCGGGCCGTCATCCACCTTCGGCACGCGCGTGTAAGCGTCTGAGCAGAACGCCGTCGCTCCTCCAACACTGGGTTGGTGCGCCTCATGACGCTCACCATACGGAACCATGCCTGGTGCGGAAGGCCAATTACCGGAAGGAGTTTTGGGGGTGCGGGGGACGAGCAGACAGGCGTGAGCTACATGCAGGCCACGTTAACAGGGCAGGCGAAGTGCATGCAGCTACTACTTCCACAGGATTCTTGATTCCCTTTCATGCGACTTTCAACTATCAGCAGGTTCACTGAGCCGTATTCGGTACAACCGACCAGATACTAAAAACAGCACCAGCCTATATACATTATCCATCCTACCACCGCCGCCGCAAACCCAACCATGACCACCGACAACCAACACCCGGCCTGAGCTGACCTGCATGGCAACGGAAGCGTCCAGGTGGAGGCTCTCCCGGTGGATGCGAGGCCGCCTGTTGAGCAGCTGGGCCACGAACGCGATGTTGTACAGGTGAGCCTTGCCAGTGATGTGATTTGCGCGTATCAGGGGAGCCAGGCCGATCCCCTCTGCCCCGGAGATGACCAGGCACGCGCGGCGGAACCGCGCCCGCTTCGCGTCCTCTTCTAGGGTGGGATCCACCTCCTCGCCCTTGAACTTGTCGTTGAGCTCCTGTCACATAAGGTCAAAATCACACCATATCATATGCATGGAGCCGATATCAATAATCTATTTTCCGGAGACGTGGTGATGACGTGGTGATGACGTGGTGATGACGTGGTGATGACGTGGTGATGACGTGGTGGTGACGTGGTGATGACGTGGTGATGACGTGGTGATGACGTGGTGGTGGTGATGGCAAACTCAGTGCACCAAATCTATAGGCCCTGGCAAAGCTTCCCTCGAACGAGCGATTGTGCTACGGAAGCAGTTCTCGTACGCGTGTTGATCACATTGATCACAACGACACTACCGACAGTTCAGGGCTGAATCCAACGAGAAGAGCCCTTTCGTTCAATCGATCGCAAGAGAAACATACGGCAAGCATCATACAACGGGGCGGGACCCAAGCAACAAAGTTCTACAGGGGCGTAGTCCGGTCAATCGAAGAAAGAAACATGACCATTTGACTAACCTTGATGAGAGTCACGTAGCATCTGCCGTCCGCTAGATCATCGCCGAAATTGGCTACACGCCGCTCGCTTCCCCCCCACCTGACAAACATAGAAATAGAGACACCAACACATGATATCATCACAACAGGCCCAACAAGATCCACATGCAAGAGCGGCAATATTAAGAAATAACAAGAAAAACATCAGACCGTACATCGCACACGTGTTGCGTATTTCTGCGACAAAACCTTACAGCAAGCACGCACATCGAGCCGTGTGCCTCGTTTGTGCCTATCTTCACAAGGAGCCAAAACCAATGTTCTTCATCAAGACAGTACACAGATTCCAAGAATGAAATTAACACTACTTGCTGTGGCAATCGCTGATTTTACAATAAACAACGGGCATAGGCACAACAGCAGCCCCCCCCCATAGCGCTGTGCTCCATCCATCAGGCTGCCGTGCAACAAAGAAGCATATTGTTGTCGCCAAGAGCATGGAATATTCACGTACTCTCTCAAGAAATCTTCCCCGTGGCAATATACAAGTTGTCGCGGGGGCGTCGTCGTACCGTTTGCTTTTTTCCCCCAAGACCGCCAAAACCTTACCGGAGGTGGTGGTTAAACCAGCGCAGCAGCACTTCCTCCACCGGGAGCTCGAAGAAAGCCTCTTTCGACTCGCCCTCCTCCATCAGGTGAATTAAGTCCGGACAACCCTAATTCGTCATCCACACACGACGCGCGCACGACAAAGGCATTTTTTAGTCGTGTTGACGTCGCTGCCAACTTCATCTGGGGGGAGGGGCACTCACTGCTGCTGCCTGCCTTGTTTCTAACACTCCGGAAGAGTATTTCTATTAGGCTAGAGAAAGAGGGGGAGTCGGCGCATGTTCTTCAACCTCTGTCCTTTACATCAGGAAGGCTTGAATCGGGGGAAACTACCACCGCCGTTACTCCCGGCTGGAGGTAACACAATCTCGGACAATCTTGGTTGGGAAGCAAAAACAACAACCCCAATCGGTGCTGCATGAATACCTTGAGGTTGATCTGTGCGAGAAGGTGGATCCGGATGAGCTGCCACGTGAGCCCTAGGATGCTCGCCGGCCGGCCCTGGATGATGTCCGTGGCTCCGATGTTGACGACTTGCAGACCGTGGTTTTCCGCCGCTTCGAGGGCCACGTTCAGGTTCTCGTTGGCCTTGTACAGACTCAGGGGCTCGTCGTCCGTGGGTGTGTTGATGTTGGTGTCAGCTGCAAAAGGGGCGAGCGGCATCATGGGAGGCAGGATAAAAGCGTCCTCATCATGTGACCTGAAGATGCAACACGCAGGCGTGCTGAACGGCCAAGATTAAGGTTTCAATGCCGGTGTATGCATAGGACAAGCGCATATTGGTAATTGGAGTCCGAAGGAGGGGCAGCCGAGGGCAGCCGATTTTGGAGCAACTCAAGACGAGTTGTAGTACCAAACTTCCTGGTCGGTGCGGAGGAAGGTCGGCGCAGAGACACGTGGTACACTAATCCCCCGCGAACTAGGAAGCGCTTAAAGCTACGATAAGAAGGACGAACTTGGTTGACTCGACTTGGCCGGTCAACGCTATATACCGCTGTAAACAACAGACTACACACACTCTGGTCCGCAAAATAAGGACTACTGCAGCTGTTGGGACCCAAATGTCAATATCTGATAACCTACAACAATTGAAATTATTTTGACACAGAATTTTGCATTGCAATGTGATGCAATGTGTTCTCCGTGACCTGGCGCGGCGAAACAGGCTGAATTGGTCACTTTGCCGCATCTTTGAGCCTGGCACATCTCCCGCAAGTCAGGACAAACGGGCTTCACCCCACAGATGACCTCGCTGGCTGTAGGAGCAACATTTTCGTTCTCAAAAACAAATTTACAACGGGATGTGGTTTTAACCCCCGAACGCAGTGCAATTAAACGTTGAAAACCCTTGTTTGCTGTTAATCTATAACGCACCCGCTGCTTTCCCGACCCAAGTCATGGCGATCGGTTCGGCGGCAGCTGCTAATAGAAAACTGCTGCTGGGTTTTCCTCCTGACCCCTTGGGTGGGATGCAACCCCGTATCATTTCATTTTGGGTGATTAACATCAGGCGTGTGGTGCCGAAACGGGAAACGATCCATCCGTATTTTGGAATATCTTGACGGTCCTCGTATTTCGGACAAGAGTGATGACTGCGACGAGCAGCCGTGTACATGCGAGTACTACACGCATGCTTTTTTAGCCACAAACAACCACCCTTTGGGGCTGTAGAGCCTACGCCAAGTCGGGTACAACATAGGTGAACACCGTGGTCGGCAAGCTTCGCCTCTCCAGTCAACTGATAAGCTTGATAATCAAATGAAGTACTGAAGCTGCATAACCAAACGACTCAGCAAGGTGAGGGCGAAGCAGAAAAAGCGTTTGAGAACGCTGCCTAGTTACGAGCGTGAAATCATTCGAGTCCTTCATAACCACCACACCCGTTAAAACCGCACCTGTCCCTAAAACTAATTTGGTGATGTGAGGGGGTGAGGAGCACAGCTTGTACCGGGATACGTGGCAGCAGTAGTGTTTCGTTTATATTTAGCCAATCGTTGCACCTATGGAGCCGGGAATGGCGAGGCAGACGATGCGGCACATGAGGACCCCGTCCTTGAAGCTGTCGAACAGGTCCGCGCCTCCCGGGTCGAGCGGCATCAGGTGGGTCAGGAACGGATCCCCCACCAAGTGAGCGTTGAGATGGCACGCAAAAACCGCCTGCGCCCACAATCGCAACAATCGAGAGATAACAACGTCTTTTTAAAGGAGGACCGCAACAGGATCTCGAAATGTATGCATAAGTTGTAGTGAGCCCACGGAGCGAGAAGCGCGACCGGTCTTTTCCCTCCGTCCCACGAGGGAGAAAACAGGCTCTGTCTATGTACGAGGGGCCCAAGTTTCAATTAACGACCGCCTGAAGTTTCGATCCTTTCGACCAGCACGAGGTCTACAGAGCACTGATTGGCGAATTGCTGGCTTGAGGGGAACAAGGAAAACGGGGCGCTCTGCGTCACTCTGTGCAGAGAAGCCACCGTAAAACCCAAATCGGTGGGGGAAGGTATGTATGACGTCTACTGTAGGTAACATGATATACCCCCCCCCCTGTACCAATTATTTAAACTCGAGTACTTCATATCGAAGAGGATACATACACCCAGGGAAACGTTGTCGGGAAGCTCTCCACGAGACGGTTCCCACATCAAGATTATAGGCACCGCCACTCTTTGTGGTGAGGAGCAACCGATCTTTGAACTTGGTCCAGGGGGTGTGGTATCTTGTGTCATATACGGTACTGCTCTGATTATGCACACGCCAACGGCCGTTCGTTCCAGGAAGGAGCCTTTTTTTAGTTGGTGACTCGTCGGATTCAAAATTCAAAATGATCGACACACCACGGCACAAAAGCATCGCAAATACATGAAGACTCCTGTTGAGTCCGCTACCCCGCGGTTCATTACCCCGCCCTATCTACATGTATTATTTACATGTATTTTCGATAGCCGAAGTAGCCACGATTAGATTGAGAGAGGCCGGATACAACAAAGCTACGCATACGGCAAGTGTGGGGCAAGCAGATGAAGGGGTCCGCACGTGTGTGCTCGGAGACGGTCGCCGTAACAAGTGAACCACAATTGGGACCCGATCCGCCTCCCCATCCCAGGCAAGCACGAGATCCATTGCGTGCACTGAAAAGATTCAACCACCCCTGTGGCAAACGATGAAAAGCAACTTTGGTTTCAAGACTACAACGTTTATTTTAATCTGTGTTCCTCCGAGACGTTTAACTTTTTTATCTCCGGATTCCCTGCAACCTTGCTGCAGCAGGGGGTGGACTCGTGCGAAATTCATTTTGCTCCGGAGTACCACATCACAAGCTCAAAGCGTGAGGGCCAGCGAAATAAAGCATTGCGCCCGGGCAAGCAGCCAAAAATCAACGAGGATACGTATGTGGGCTTCAAGCTTCAAGAGGTAACGCGACGTGGAAATGGACGTAACACCACGTGGATACTGCTGTATTAGTATGCCGTGTATGACACAAGATAACACACCCCCTGGACCGATTTTCAAAGCTCGATTACTCCACGACGAAGAGGATGAATAAACGAAACTACATTTTTGGAAAGCTCTCGACGAGACGGTTCCAACGCCGCCGTTTTCGGCGCCGTGACTCTTTCTGTTGTTCAGAAATCGAGATTTGAAAATCGGTCCAGGAGTGAGTTATCTTGTGTCATTTACGGTATGCCAGGACGAAAAAACAAAAATCGTAATCGTTTGAGTGCTGTGCGAAATGAACGGGGAACCTGCTTGTTGCAGAAGTCTGGACTGCTGTAGTATTATTATCCTCCCCTTCCTATGATACCTCTGCCCGACTTGCACCGACAGCGAAGCGCGCAGATCCAGATCATGATTCCCCTGGCGGTTCGGGCACACAACAAGAGTGGCGTGCAACCCTGCCCTACCCTCTCTCGAAAGAGACCAGAGCACCAGAGCGGCCACGAGCGCTCGCTCAGGGTCGGCCAAGGAAATAGTTCGCGCAATAAATGGAGCAGGAAATTTGTAAACGTGCAACAAGGGATCCGATCCACCCCAACCTTCGTCAATTCCCCACATGCCCCCCCCGGCCTCTCTCAATGCGCAGCAAGGATAAGGCAACCTCACTCTAACAACAGCCCCCCACCCTATCGATAGAGAGTGCGAGTATTGTTGGTGCGCTCTCTTACCTTCTCCTCTGATGTGTAGGTGGTGATCGAATCGCCCTTCCCCCTCTTGGTGTCAAAGCTCCCGGACACGGACTTCCTGTTGGAGATGATGTTTCTCAGGGCCGGCGAGGCCGTGACCGTGCTCAAGTCCTCCCCTTCTCCATCGGTATCCGGCCCCAGGAGATCCGAGATGGATTGCCTGCGACTGGTCGGTGTAGGGGTGCACATCGGCGCGCTGCTGCTGTCGGCTCGCAGCGTCCCCAGGCGGAGCGTTCCGAGGCCCAAGGAGCCGCCGGCGCCCCCGCCCGGGGTGGAAACCTGCGACCGTTGGTCAGCAGCAGCGGACTTGGTAGGGGTCGGCTGCTGTGAACCTGCCTTCTTCTTCTTGCCCGAGCCATTCTTCTTCTTCCCTTTGGGCCACTTCATCCTGCTGGCTCCCAAAGCTGCGCCTCGCGAAAAATATCGTCTGCCCTTGTCCTCTCTGCTCAAAAGCGCAACAAACCCTGATACGGGACCGCCTTTTTCAGCTTACACCTCCACAGACGCGGGGGGACTCGATCGCACAGAAGAGTCTCCTGCACGACCTGAGCCTCCCCTCGATCCACGGAGGAGAAGTCGGGGTGCTCTCTAGCAACCTCGCACTACGCAGGGCACAGGGGCGCGGGGGGGGGTGGTTCAAGTGGCGGCCGGGTTGATGAGAACAAACTTGGTTGAATTTGAGGCAAACCAGGGTGCGTGTGAGGTACAGCTGTATATCTGTTTGGCGTCGACATGCGGTAGAGAATGAAACCGTCGGTAGTATTTTTTCCTTTTTCTTCTCGTATCGACGACGGCCATAAAAGGGTGTGGACGATCGTCTCCGTCTCTTTCCCGCGAGTCGCGGGCACCCTTGTTCTCTCGCGCTCTCGGAAAGGTGCTGCCACTCTCCCTTCCAAGGAACTAGACACAGACCGAGACACGCGCGAACACAGGGAGCGAAAAGCTCGCTTTTATTATGGCTCTCGTGGCCTCAGACACACGGAGCGAAGCATCCGGTGGGTCCGGGTCGGCGCGGTCTGGTGGGTCAAGGAAATACAGGGTTGTCTCTCGGGGCAGCAATGTCGACGAGTCACTCTTTGGGTCGAGCAACTCCAGAGGATGCAAGAAGAGCACAGGGAGGAAGATACCCGTGGGAAAAGTAAGTGAGGTTTACTCTGTTGGCGTCTGCCCGCACAATAAATGCAGCCAACAGGATTGTATGCATGTACACATGCAAATGTATAGTCTAGACTAGGTATTCATGAACAGTTTCGTCAAACGACGTGGCTTCAAGTACACACGTACACTACTGCTGGGGGGTTGGCTTTGTCGTAGTGTACACGCGCCGCCTTGAGACAAGGGGGGGTTGGCTCCAAACAACCACCAAGTTCGAAATATTTGCGAGTGCGCACACCTGCAAGGTAATACGACCGAGACGCCAGTAACACACACTTAGAACAAGTTGGCACTTCGAAGTATATGTTAGATTACACCATTGAGTCAGCCAAGGAACACCTGCCTGATCGGTTATAAACAGCAGTGCTCCAAATGTGAAATAACCTTGGGGTGATTTTCTGAGCAACAATCTCATCCAGCAAAAGATGCGTCAATGCTGGTACCTTCTGCTACGAACTCCAGCAGTGAATGCATGGATGCGTATCCAGGAAGAGGTGTGCGATCACACTCTTGTCTTTGTTGTTGTTGTTGTTGTTGTTGTTGTTTTCACATTAAACTCGTGTCAGTTGCTAACCCCAAAATCTAGTAAAAGCTCGAGTCCGTGTTCACAAAGATGCTACAGAGCCATCAGAAGATCTAAAGCACACGCCCACTTGCAAGGAAAGGGTACATATGTAAGCAAGTATGCGTTATTGCCGTTGACCCTTGGTCTCGCAAGGGGAGGTTCGACAACATTTTTCGCCTCTGTACTGTAGATGGTGTTTCCAGACGTAGAAGTTTGAAGTATATAGCAATCGCGGAAACCACAACAGCACATCAGATCGGAGCCATAAAAGATGGGAATATTCTATGGAGAGGTCGGGGTGGCGCGGTCGATTCTACCCTAAAGTAGACAGATATCGAAACAATACGTCATCGCCAGTAGCCATAGCTGACAAATCGGTATTGTCGTAGAGCTTACCGTGAACTTAAGAAAACATTACGGGAACACAAACGCCTAGCATTGAGTTCATACCGATCCACGTGTTAGACCCAACCACCCTTTTCCTAAGGTCCCCCCTAAGGCCACGGTGATCACCGAGGAAGAGCTTGCTCAAATGAAACGACGGGCAATCATCACATCGCTAGCTGACGAAGAGGCTGCAAGGGTGGGCAGGGAAAATATGCTCGAGGTGAGTATTTCGAGCTAGATACCGACATGGTTTGCTTTGTCGTATGTATTCATATTCATATTTGCGGATGACAGCATTGTAACATGTGCTCCATTGAAAGCTTAGGATCCATGCGACACATTCAAAGTAGAAGAACCGATCCGTAGTAGCGTTCCGAGTAGCGTGGGTGCTTGGAAGATCAGTGATAGATACACAGATCTTCCATGCCAACTGTCTGGCATGAGCGTGCGGACCACTCCTCGCAGTGCCCTGCTCACTCTCGTTCTGGAACCTGTCTCAGTGCCCAATATATCAAAGGGGATAACCAGTGAGCTACCTTGACCCTAGGATCCTTCTGCCACGTCGCCTACGGAAGAAGTCTTAATCGGCACACATGCAAGCATTAGGGTCAACATCAGACCAGCTATGGAATGTCTGCCTGTACCAACCGCACACATAGTTATCTTGGAGTAACCGGAGCCGAACCTAGCCGCCTGTCTGGCATCAAAGGTTGTTGCCATGCCGATATTCGACTGATAAAAAGGTTTCAAGCCCTCCTGTTTGTGAAAAGTAACCCATAAAAATAATCTGGTGAACTGATGAGCAAATCAAGATTTATGGGGCCGATGACGTCGAATATAGGTAGGGTCCTACTCCGTTTCGGGGCCGTATGAAAGACACCCGACCACAAACTTGAACTGTTACTGCTCTCCTTTCGTCGTTCTTCGCTTTGGGGGTTTTTGTTATCGCCCCACCTACGTCCACCACACCGAATGCAACACGCCACTGAATGAGATCAAACTAGACGCTGCCTAACCCCGGCATATCTATGCCGCCTAACGGCGCAAGTGTTTAAACTGACTCACTGACACACGGCTATCTCCGCAAACCAACACACATGCGGGTACGTTGGACGACAGTCGCGATTGCGTGCCGTGTGCCAGTGTCTACCACAGCGTCCCTGATAGTGAAACGCGTGTTCTAAACTTAGCGTTGTTTAAGTCACGTAACGTAATGCTGGGCGAGGTACAGAATCTCGACTGCATGCTGATCTCGCATGATACCATTAGGCAATGAAACGTGAACTAACTGCATATCGGCCCTTTCAGGTGTCACAACAGCTCTTCAAAAAGGCGAGAGGAACCGACCTTGTCTCCTTGCCATCCCGCGTGTGATGCAACTGTACGCTTGTGGCTGCATAACAGGAGAGGCAGCGGGCCGCACGGGCGCGTAAACAACGCATGCTGGAGATGGAGGTGGAAGCCAAGAAAAAAGCCCTTAAGAGCGACATTGAGGTGAATCTCGTGTGCACCACTGTATGAATAAACCAGCTCTAGAGGATCACCACAGCTACATCCAGTTCTTCTCTGAAGATTTTTTTCTTAGATCGCGCGACCTACGTGCCAACAACACCCACAATAGCATAAAAAATGGTTCTTTGGTAGTTCGAAAGGTTCCTTTTGGCACGATTGGCATCAGATGTTCGGCTGCACCTGCTACACTTGCGGTCAAGGGGATCATGTCATGTATACATAAAAAAACACGTTGGGTTTCTGAGGCTTTGCAAGGTCTAGAGTTTGAGCGCAAGAAAAAACTGAATAAAACCTTCCAAACCATGATTCACAGGGTTATCAAACAGTCTTGGAACGATTGCTTCCCCGTTCAACCCTCGGGTACCCATCGCTGCGTTCCGAAACGCCACGGTTGTCCAGATTATTCCCCCAAACTACGTGATAATCATCCCAACAAGCTTAAGAACTTACTTCGCACTTCTGCAACGTAATATGCCTATACCTAGGTGGAGAGAATGGCGCACGATCAGATGGTGAAAAAGATGGCCACGGAAAAGCTTGACGCCAACAACGACCTGGTCAAGATGCTCAACTCTCTCGGTGCTCGCGCAGCAGCATTCACCATCCGGGACAAGCAGGCAATAGAGTTGATAGGCGTACACATACATATTGTTGGAAAATACTACATGACCACGTGCGAAAAGCTCTTGTTCAAAGAATGTGGATACGTTTTGACATCGTCTTGGTGCTTGGGAAGACACAAATGGCAGAGGCTGACAAAGCAGATGGGCGAAAAACTATTTTGTCATCAAAACGCGCCGAAGTAGTTTCCTCCCCTTACCAACACGACGAACGGATAGTTTTACCACAAACTTCTCAACATATATCGGTAGTTCTGACTTCTCTGCCCTCAGCACCTACTACCCCTTTATCTCGACAACACCACCACACACAATACGTTTGCTCAACCGAATGTATGCACAGCTGGCGGAGAAAGATAGGCGGGAGGGCTCAGAGAAGGTCTACGATGAGCGGATGGACATGATCATGGAGGTAAGTGCCGGTGCTATTCGTAAGGGGATACAGTTGCTCCTCCAAACGGCAGGAATCGTCCCGTAGTTCCTTTTAGTGTTCTTGGCTCAGACAACACAAAAGCTTCGCGAATTGCTCTTACCGGTGTCTCATTTCGACAGCACCTTTCTTGTTCAATACCCCGTCTATCGCACTTGCTGCAGTTGGATCGTCTCAAGGACCTCACGAAGAGGGACGCCGAGGAGCAGGCCAAGAAGTCCAAGCGGGTTGAGGATCGCAAAGTCATTACCGAACAGATTGAGGCTAGACAGAGGGCCAAGCTTATCCGGCTAGAGGCCAGGGAACAGGTGAGCCAAGAGAAGAGTCTTAATGAGTGTAATTTGTATGGTGTAGAATTTATAACAATTGTGTCTCATAAGATTTCGCACATGGGTTTGGTCGAATACTGAGAGATGAAGCTAGCTACTTTGGAGGGAACCCCTGGTGGGCTGCAGGAGCTGTAAGACCAACGCACGTGTTGTCGGGATAACGGTCGGGAGCTAATCATCGGTAGTAGTCCATCCGCACATGGTTACCCGGTGTGGGCTACAGATTGTGGACGACGTAGATCATGATTTGTCCCATGTGTGGAAGCGTTAACCCAGTGCGGGAGATTTCTGTGTTGGTACCGCGCACCTAAATAGTGGCGTAGAACCTATGTCAAAGAAGTATGCGCGAAATTGGATGCACCCATCGCCTTCACCGGAAGGGTCTCAATTAATTCGATCTCTAATCATTCATATGGTACCATGACTAGGAACGTCTCAAAGTATCCGGTTTCTCCATTGCCGGAAAGGGTTTGTCGGGGTAGCGTGCGTCCACATTCCTGTCAAGGGCTATTGGCTGTAGTAACATATAATAATTTTTCCGGGAAGGAGGAATTGCCATGCTATTGCTCCAGTACTTCAAAGTTGAATAAACAATAGTTGTGCTTGGTCGCCGCCCAAGCTGCCTTGATTTTGAGCACGGGACGATGAACATCGAGGTCCACAGGCGGTCGCAAGCCAGAACCAGAATTCAGGCACGAATCAATGAAAACCTCGCTGGACTTCCTGTGTGGTAACCTGTTGTACCCTTCCCAACTGCGTCGCGCGCTTCTCGCCAGGAAAACCGCGCTATGCTGGGCGCTATCCAACGCTACGCCGACGAAGACAAGGCAGCTGCGGAAAAAAAGGCCATAGAGGTATCCATGATAATTCTTCCGTGGCGTCTTGATTATTGTCGCCGAGCATCTAACAATGCGCCCTGTTCCACATAGAACAACAGCGCTGTCCAGCTGTAGGCCCCCTACCACGGGACCAAGGACGAACGTATCTTGACATGCCACGAATTGTCGAAACTGAATCCGTGTCTATGTGTCTTTGACCAGGTCCGGCAAGCTCGAGCGGCGGTCATGGCGGCGAATGAAGCGGCGATCGAGATGCGTCGCTCGGCCAGGCAGAGAGAGGTCGAGGAAGTAGAATCCATCCTGGCCTACCAAGCTATGAAGGTAGGAAAACGTTGGGGAGTCGAGGCAACTACTGTTTTCCTAGAATACCGCGAGAACACGCAATGATGCCACGGGACGAGGAACAGCGTCTTCTGTAACGCAGTACCTTACTTTCTACCTCTGCTAACCTGGTATCGGTTGTCCTTCATCCACAATGTTGGTGCCCTCTGTGGGCCTTCTTCGCCAAGCCCCTATACCATTAACATTTCTGGTCGTTCCATGCAATGTATGCGCAGGATGAAGAAATGCGGCTTCGTGAAGTGGAGGAGGCCGAAAAGAAGCAGATGATGAAGGAAAGGCAGCAAAAACTCCTCGAGGGACAGCTGGTGAGAAGAGGAACGAGAACTGAGAGACCTCGCGTGCCATAGCGTGACCCGCAATGCCGTCCCGATAACAGCTAAAGATCTCGCCCAAATACATGCTGTGACACAACCACGAAGCCTGACATTGGCGATACGGTTCGACGAGAGTATGATCATCTATCCTGGACCTCACTACCTTGGTGTCCATATCACTGAACTGATCCGACAAGGAGCGGTGTTTGCCTGCACCGTAGCGAAAACAGCAATTATCGAACTAACCTCCCCTTACGATATGACGGTCAATCCGACCTACTTCACCATGCTGCAGAGGGACATGGACAAGCAGGCCGAGCTCGATGAGCTGAGGGCCAGACGCGCCGCGGAAGAAAAGGTGGGGTGCGGCCACATCATTACAGAGATTACGCAGTTGTGAGATTGAATAGGCAAAGGTACTGGCGTTCTTCTGTTTCGTCTGCTCTTGTGTTCTCAATATTCACCCCTTGCACTTTCTCGACAAGAGAAACTATTGCACCAGTGCTGTCGCAAAGTACTGGTAAACATCGTTTTTGGTTGGCACCACTGGATTGGCTTTCCTGGAGACTTACAAATCAAACCATCTCCTCTTGTACAGGGTCATGGGGCGAGGTTGATTTTTCGGGCATTGAGGAAGCCGTTTGGACTGCCCTCTTGCTACTCAAATTATTTGTTTACAAGAAAGCCAATATTTAAGAGCGGTTATATTTGGTCGTAAAACGCCCCTCATTTTTAGACGAGAGAAAAATGTTCCGCGAGAGAAGTCACCTACCGAAACATGATCTTCCAGCACCCTGTCGATGAATCCAGTCAGCGTCATTGATTTGTACAGAGGCTGCCGGGCGTACCTGGTACTTTGTTTCCATTTGGTTCTGGACCGTGTTGACCTGACACGTGCAAGTATCTGTCGGCGAAAGGGCCTCTCAAAATGAGACTGCTGACGAATTCCCAAGTACACTCTGCAACACCCCACCCTGATCGAGTTTGGCCACGCTTGGTTGCGCGGAATAAGTATCGTTCCCCCCTTATTGTTGGTGATGGGTGTTGGGCAACAGGAGCGTGAGATGAGGCACCGCGAGCGTCTGGCCGCGGAGAAACGCCGGAGGGACGTGACGCAACTTCAGGTGAACGAACTGCCACCAACATCCGAAGTACAGCATCAACCTCGAACCTGACCATGCTTGCATTGTAGCCCAGTCATGATTGGCAGTTACTTGGAGACTCGACCAGGTTCATATTGTGCACGATAGTCGTGCTGGAACGAAAATGTAGCCTGCATCTGAACTTCATCGCACAGTTGGCGCAAGTAATAACACGGCAAACTTTGTACACATTGGGTTGTAATTCTCCTTCCATGGTCATGGTGCGCAGCTACTGACGGTTGGTGGCTGCCCTCGAGTAACAAGAAGAACACCCGTTTGTAGAAAACGAACCTGCTTTTGCTATGTTTTCAGGCGGATCGAAAGCGCCAGGCAGACATGAAGAAAGCTCAGCTAGCCAAAGAGGCGGAGCTGGAAGAGGGAGAATACGAGGCAGCAGTCAGGTCAGAGCAAACCAACGTTTATTGCCAGGTTACTACTATGAGAATGTCTTATAATTTTGGCTCATTGGACAAGTCTCCATTCAAGGGGAAAAATCCAGCCGTAGTCCCGAAGTAGCAACACATCTGGCACCGGCAATAACAGGGGTTTTGAAGCTGGGAGGCTCAATCGAGACGGTGCTGGTACGATACTTCACGCTTCCGCTGACGTCATGAGCACACGCATTCTTCCCAATAACGCATGAAGTGATCCGTTGCACATGCGCGTGACAGCGCGGGCACGTCCGTTTTGTGTTTTTGGAATCGGCCAACCTGTCTCGCGCAGCGTTCTAGTTCAATGCACCGAAACGCATGCCCTCCGTTCACCTTTGCTAACGTTTAATTGTCTTGCGTCTTTCTATCACATCAGATATAACACTTCTTTGTTAGAGAGAGAGCGACGCGAGAGTGAAGCAAAGCACGCCGCTTGCATGGAACACCGCAGTGCCATCCTGCTACAGGTCAGAACCGGCACATCCGCGACTTGGACAATAAGGGGAACACGTCACATCCTGTACCCTCTCATGGAAGAGTTTGTCTTCCGCGTGGTCGATGTATCCAGAGTTATGAGACATGGTAGGAACTGGCACATTCGAAACTACTGGGGGCGAGTCAGATTAAAGTGAAGAAAAATATTGCGATCCCCTTCAAAAGGGTACAACCCCCCCACTTGGTCTGTCTGTGTGTGCGTGGGGGGGGATTCAGTTGTTGCCTCCCCTATTCTCCAGACCGTTGACCGCGCGGATCCCAGTTTGTTAGGGCGACGTTGATTGTTTTTCGTCCGTACAGCAAAACACGTCCCTATCCGTCAATAAACGTCGATCGGAAACGAAAGCAAGGGTAGCCTGAACAATCAGAAGTACTCAGGAAAAGAGTCGAACTTTGGAGTAAGATCCTAGGTTCGTCACTCGTATCTATTTCAATTTCGTCCTTGCGATACTTATGCTTGCTCATTGCCGGCTTTGGGCGCGAACCTTACAACAACCAAGAGTCTTACCCACAGCAACGCCTCCGTCGATACACTCTTGAAAATGAAGGTTGTATGGTCCGTTCGGGCAAATATTCACAATATTTTCCCCTGCACAAAGGTGCACTTTTCTCGAGGTGGGGGTACTTATTCCGAAATCTGAAAATACCGCGTAAATCGACGTTTCAAGGCGCATCTTCGTACGGAGTTTTTTTTTTTTTCGTCCTTCGCTCGATATGTTCAGATATTCAAGAAATCTTGCTTACTTTCTGGAGGGCGGTGTTTTTTGCATACACAAAATCTGAGACCGGATTTGGACAGCTCTCGTGATTTGCCACCGATGATTTTTTTCCGATTTCCAATTTGACAAGAAATAACGGAGTTATGGGCAAAAAAACGGATATCGGAGGGTATTTTGCTTAGTTTCTTGGGGACAATCCAACCGTACGATTCAAAAATAAAGTGCTGCAATCGATTCCTCTCGTGATTTCCCACCGATGATTCTTTTCCGATTTAAAAAAAAAAACTCGGGTTTCGGAAATATTTCGGGTGGTTTCACACGCCCTCGGGGATTTTTTTCCCGCCACACACACACCAGAGGACACACACACACACACACCCTTTACGCACGCAACGAAAGACGCACACGCGCTCCGGGCACATGGGTCGCCCAAAGGGTAAGCGCAAGCTGCCAAGGAACGCCGACGGCACGATTCGGAAGGCCCCTTCGCCCCCTGCGGACCCTGCTGTAGGCAACGACTCTCCTCCCTCTTCCGACCATGAAGGCGCCAATATTTCTCCCATGCACACCAACGACCACGACGACGACTGGCCCCACCGCCGTTCTCATCGGCCTGCCGAAAGGAGGAAAGCAGCTGCTCATGGAGATGGGGCTGTGGGAAGGCGAGCCAACCCTACGCGTTCACGAGTGCAGCGCGTGCAGGGCGGAAAAGGCGGCAACAAGGCAAGCCATTACCGCCTTCAACCGCGGTGGAGAGGGGCGGCAGCAGGTGGTGGACAACACGGGGCAGGGAGAGGAGGACGGCGGAGAGGACGGGGACTCGGGTGGGAGCGGGGCAGCTGGTGAAGCAGGCAAGAGGCGTCGCTGCTGCGTCGTGCGCGTTCTGTCTGAGCTCAAGGCGTTCAGGGAGGAGCTCAACATGGTTGAGAAGCTCTTCAAGGCACACGGGCACCTGTGCATCTTCTTGCCGAAGTACCACCCAGAGCTCAACGCAATCGAGCGATACTGGGGGTACATCAAGCACCTCCTCCGCCTCCACTGCGAGTATTCCCTTCGCCACATGCTCCAGGTCTTGCCCGGCGCGTTGAGCGGCGTACCCGCACGGTTTATCCGCGCATGGAGCAGGGTGACGTGGCTGTACATCGAAGCCTACGACGAGGGCCTGGAGGACTACCTCGAGTACCGCGATCTCAAGGAGTGGGGGAAGCACCGAGAAGCCACCGCCAGGGGAGATGCCGTGATTCAGGCGAGGGGGGCGGGGAAGACGCCGGAGCAGAAGAAGGCAGCCGAGGCGAAGGCGCTTGCGGCTGCGCAGGAAGTGCGCAAGAAGTCGATGGCAGCGACCAGGGAAGCCTTCAACACGTGGACGAGCAAGAGAGCCTCCCGGAAGGAGCAGCTACGGCTGTGGATTTTTCGCAACACGATGAATTTTTTGAGGGAATGGTTGAGCGGGCACGCTCAGGCGTGAGTGGGGAGGGTACGTATCTATATGTCGCGGTGTGTTGTAGTGTTGGTTTCTCGCGTTTAGGCGCGGTAGAGGCGTTCGTCATGGTCACCAACTCAACGCTATAGCTGTCTCTTTTGGTATCGGACTTGCTTAGAGAGAACGGATGTGATTGCTGCATGCTTTGTTTGCAGCACCTTCACCAGCCAGGGGTTGAGTAGAAAGTAAACGGCGGTATTGTATGTATGTATGTACATATGTAACGTGTAAATAATGTAAATATGGATTGACAACGGTTTAACTGATGTTCTGAAGGCATATACGCGTGTAGAAGGGAGGGGTTGAGGGGGGGTCGTGGTGTACTTTGGGGGCTCCGTGGGGTCATTAGGGGGTGGGGGGGTGGGGGCTCCGTGGGTCATTTTGGTCAAAAATGTCGCATTTCACCCAATCACCAAAAACTCATCGGATATCGACGAAGCTCGACGCCGCGGTCACGCCCAAAGTTGTTTCACTTTCCAAATCGTTTTTTTTTTAAAGATATCCCGAAGAACAAGATTGTGAATATTTGCCCGAACGGACCATATGCACACTTGTACTATCATTTACAACGGCATCGCGTTGATGATAGGGAGAGGACGAGTAATCCCTTCGCCGTTCGTTTCTTTTTCCCTTGAAAAAAACATCAGGTACAAGAGGCTGAAGCAAAGAGGAAGGCCAATCGAGCCGCAAAGTTCGAAGAAGGCCGCCGCCTCAAACAGGTAATCAACACTGGCGAGCACTTTGCTAGAAATGCTCGTTGATGGCGGCATTCGAGCACGGAAGTACCATACTTCTTATGCAGCGAATCTTGCGATAGTTTTGTGGATCTACGGCGATAGCATCGCATTTGCACCGGGGAAACGGTCAAACAGCCAGCGTAGACTGAAAAGGATGTGGACCAAATGCGCTAGAAGGGGGCTGCATGCCGCAATGGGATTGTACGGGAGGTCTGCAAAAAGTTTGCAAGGTCAGAATGTTGCTTCATGTGCTCCCACACAAAAACGTTCTTCTCCTGCTGGAAAATGCTCAGCCCGGAGAAGAAGCCTCGAAACAAGTACTTGTGGTTGTGCGTAGAATGTCGACACCTTGGGCGTAGACTGTAAACGCTTGTCTAGTCTGTTGTTTGCAAAGAATTTTGCATGGCGAGTGCTTCTTCATATGTGAGCTGCGCCACCGCCACATCTTCAATATTTGGGAGTGCCCTTCTACCACAGGGTGCCCGGCGTTGTGTTGCAGGTCCTCTACAGGGTCACTGCCAGCTCACGCCCGCTTCCCCACGTGTTTGATTTCTTCGTGAACTATGCAATACTGTGGCGTGTCAGGAGTACACGATGGAGCGTGCCAAGCTGGAAGCCATGCGCGACAAGATGGTTGAAGACATGGAGAAGAGAGGAATCAACCCTAAGGTGAGACACAGCACGTACGGCCAACCTATCTCCTTTCGCTGCAATCCCACGACAAAAGTCACATCAAACTCCTCGAATGAGGTGCCCATACGCACAAAAACAACGCGTAACAACGGACGTGCATCCTGCTACTTGAAAACCGATTTACGTATGTAGCTAGGACGGCGTGCTTTGAATGGGCTGTGTCCCGATTTCTTGAAGCAACTCATGAAAACTCTGGTCTTGAAATATCGACGCGTAGAAAATGCTGGTATTCTTCATGATTATTTACTTCATTGGACATGGCAGCACCATCTCCTCACTTGTACATACACAACCTCCTCTAAACCCCACTTGTCTCGCACTCAACCCCCTGCGATCGCGGATTACTCGCCTCCCTGTTGTCAGTACCTGACGGAGATGAAAGCTGTGGACATCCACAAAATGCACATGCGGTAGGCTCAGGCCATGTGGGCGCGGTGATTGTGCGAATGGGGATGCTGCGCTGGACTTACATCACGTGGAAAGCAGTGCCATGCAACGTTTGAGCACAGCACCTGGGAATTGGAAGCCGCTTGGGTAGCACGGAGTTCTGATTGGTGATAGATACGTAGTGGTGCTACATTCACAGCGAAGTTCTCGATGGACGCGGCAGGAAGCGTGCCGTGCCCACTAGGGTGCGCTGATGGGCCTTGTTTCTGTCATAATAGGTGCGAACAAGAACTTCTTGAGCCTGGCTGGAGAGTCAGTTCTTGCTGATCCTAGTCCATCGTGCGTTAACTCCCGAGATAGACTCATGCCAGCCAAGAGGGTGGTCAGTCGTTCGGATTGTAACAATGGTCTAGAACAACAGCCTTCCGAATGACGGGGATACTGCTGGACACATACGACGCAGTGATGCAGGGCGCGAGGGGAGCGGAAATGTCGGCTTCTTTTGCCACATGCTGCGGAGAAAATACACGCGTGAATTGTTGAAGAACTTACATTGAATATCTTGATGTGTCTTGTATTTACGAAGAGCGAAAAACCGCGAGGTTCACACTCACCACCTAGGCTAGCAAGTATCAGGTATGGCATAGATGGCAGCGGGAACAGAGCGACGTCATATGTGCCAATATGGACAAGAAGCG